GTTGTCGTTGTCGAACGATTTTTCAGATGAAGTCATCCGAAGCCCCCACTTCAGATGGATGTGTTCTTGTTCGGTTGACTAGACCAGCAACGGTACACTTTTCCTAAAGTAATCTTGTATATTAGCAGAGTTTCTAATTTCATGCCTAAATATACATGGTCAACCTATACACTAGACAGCCTTGCATACCTACATAAAACCAGTGACTGTATCTATACCACTGTAGCATGAAATATATAAGAATTAGAACATTAATAACTGGTGCAGTAATAAGAACCATTCCAGTGCATTTAGCAAACGAAGTTTACCAAAATATACCGCGTAAACTATCCATGGACCCTTTGAGTCTATCTGTCAAATGTAAATTAAATGCCATAAAATTGGTTCTTAGTGAAACGAGTTAAGGTATTACTTTCACTTCAGAAAACCTGCAATAATCTCACATGCAATTTGCGAATCAAAGGGTCCCTCATTAATTGATCATTACGGCTAGTACATTTTATACAGAAAAGCTTTATGCAGTATTTTCTCGATTATCCGGTTTTATAAAGCATTTCCTCGATTATTCGGATATATACAATACTACTTCGTTTATCTGGATTTATACAGTATTTCCTCGATTATCCGAGTTTATAAAACATTTCTTCGGTTATCCGGATTTATACATTATTGCCTCGATTATACGAATGTATACAGTATTTCCTCGATTATCCCGGTTTATACAGTATTCCCTCGATTATCCGGATTTATACAGTATTTCCTCGATTATCTGGGTTTATAAAGTATTTCTTCGATTATCCGGATTTGTACAGTATTTGCTCGATTATCCAGTTATATAAAGCATTTCCTCGATTATCCAGATTATTACAGTATTTTCTCGATTATCCGGTTATATAAAGCATTTCCTCGATTGGTCCTACGCTATTTTTAACTTTCAACCTTTCTAATTACATCAGTTCTGAAATTGGCACCTATGATGTCTACACCATCATTTACTCCTGCCTCGATAGTAAGGCTGGTCCACCGAACAAGATCAAAATTTCAGATGAGGTAAGAAAAAAAAAAAGACCGTCATTAACTGAGGCAAAAGATGGCTTGTCAATTCTAACGTCTCCAAAACTAAACTTCTCTCCATTAATCATCTGAGGGACCCCCCCCTCGCTACCTTCCATCAACATGGCTGATGCTATCCTCCAGGAAAGTAACTCATTGTGCCTACTCGGGCTAATGTTCTGAGATGACATGAAGTGCAAAGACTATATTCAATCCATAGCTAGATCAGCTCTGAAAAAGTCCGTTCAATATGTCGGGCGAGGCAATTTTTCTCTCCAGAATATATCTTACACACACACACACACACACATATATATATATATATATATATATATATATATATATATATATATATATATATATATATATATATATATATATATATATATATATATACCTGTCCATGCTTAGAATTGCTGCCATATATGGCCCGATATCCCTGCTATTTACCTGGAGCTTCTTCATAAGATCCAAAGAAGAATCAGCAATATTATAAGTCTTGATCTGGCGGCTCGGCTTCAGTTACTTACCCACCACCGTAAGGTTGACTCTCTCTCTCTCTCTCTCTCTCTCTCTCTGTTTTTTATAAATAAAATCATGGTAAATGTTCGGACGAGCTCTTTGCGATGGTACCCAGACTTTATGAATTTAAGTAGATCTAGTGGCGAGATCTCATCAATTTACAGTTCAGTTGGGTAGATGTAACCGTAAATTCGACGCCAACCGTTTCTTCTCTCACACTTCTTGCTTGTACAATTCCCTTCCGGCTCTATGCTTTGCAGCAAACTTGAATTTGCAAAAATTTAAATGCAATATCAATCGCTATCTACTGTCTTCCTGATGACTCTTTTCTCTTTCCTCTCATCATTAATGTTTCTGTTCCTAATTCTTCCACACTTTATAAACCCTTGCGTTTTACCGCCTTACATGGGTTGATACCGATTTAAAAAAAAATAACGGCAACAACTAATTTATAATAGAGGTGGCAAAAATACGGCGTGAGAGCCATATGTAGAGAGTATTGGATCTTTAATGTACGGCTCGTAGATGTATTTTAACTCGTCTACATATCTTCTAATATTTGATATAAAAAGTATCTAAGAGAAAAGCTTTCAATATTTATTATTATTATTGTACAAGTTATAGACTGTAACTTCGCTGGATTGAAACGTAAGTTTGATGCTTAGTAAATATATATAAGAATTTCTTAATTCCAGTGCTTGAGTTTCATGCGAAGTTGCTGAAGAAAGAAATACTTGGATGTAAAGGGATTAATGTCATTTCAGGTCAGCAAGAGTTTCAAATTCAAGTTTATGTCTTCCGGTTCTCAAATATCTAAAGTTTATATCATATGTCCGTTATATTAAGCCAGTTTGGTTACCTTTGATTTATGACACACGTATTGCTTTCCAAAACGTAAACAAGATTTTAAGAAACAGAAGAAAAAAAATCGTTAAAAGCAGATAAAAGAGTGCTGGAAGCTATCTGATATTTTTAGTATGGCAATCTTAACATACTTGACAGGAACTATTAGATGATGCAATAAGAGAAAACGCGAAGAAATGCAAATTATCCACTGTAAAAAGACAGAAGATATGGTCGTTCTTGACGGTCGGATTTGCTTACCATGAATTGAAGACGAGATAATCAAGCAAACTCGGAAATTTAACTATTACGTGTTATAACAGATGATAAAATATATGACAAAGAAATCCGAAGGCGTATTGGAACATATCGAAAAATGCCTTCCAAAAGCTAAACAAAATATTAAGAAAGAGGAAAACTTCCTCACTATAAAGAGGGTTGTTATAAAATTGGTTCTTAGTGAAACGAGTTAAGGCATTATTTTCACTTCAAAAAACCTGCAACAATCTCACATGCAATTTGTGAATCAAAGGGTCCCTCATTAATTGATCATTACGGCGAGTGCATTTTTATACAGAAAAACTTTATGCAGTATTTCATCGATTATCCGGTTTTATAAAGCATTTTGTCGATTATTCGGATTTAAGCAACATTACTTCGTTTATCTGGATTTATACAATATTTCCTCGATTATCCCGGTTTATACAGTATTCCTTCGATTATCCGGATTTATACAGTATTTCATCGATTATTCGGGTTTATATAGTATTTAAATAATGTACATAATACCTCACGTTGTAATAAATATGGTGACAAAGATGAGGACAATAGTACGAATAATGTAAATAATGTACATAATACCTCATCTCAGAAATATAGACAGATCCTATCATATTATGTGATAAAATGCACTGTCAATCACTCGATTAGTAGGGTTTAAGTAATTTATAGCGCATGTTGCTACTGCCGTACAAATGAGGAATGTTAAGGTACCCCTTATTTATTCTTAACTGCCACACATGATTAGTAGCTGCAACTGCTCTGATGAGCTTTTTTCCCTGGTGATCCGACTACATGAATTTAAGCGTGCTACTAGATTGGCATTTCGGTCCTACCCTTTTAATGTTGAAATAGGTAAATGTAACCGCCACTTCTACAACAACAGTTTATTTTCTCGCACTTCCCGCTTGAGAATTTACCTTCCGTTTACTTGATTCTCTGATGACTACAATCTTCATAAATTTAAATACAACGTCAATCGCCATCTTCTACCTTTTTGAATCCCGTTCATCTTTTGTCGTTTCCTCAATCCTCACTATACTAAGTTTTCTCTTTCAACTTCAGCCGACGTAATCCCTACCTACTCGTAACATTCCTGCTTTAATTAGGGTGAATGATGATTTTAAAAAAAGGATGGTACATTCGTCATTACAACTGGCTTCTCTAAATGAAATTGGCTTGTGACTCAACTTAATACAATGTAAATGCATTGTTCCTCATTCTACTACAGGTTGGTCCGAAAGTCCTGTCACCCCTACATAATATAAATTTCTATTTCAACACTCTGTGGGAGGGTATTATCAAGGAGAGAGTTTCACATACACGATACCAGAATAGCCATCAGTTAACGTAGAGCCTTTGTAACAATAAAGCATAGCTTCGTAAAATAACACACAGGACATGACTCCGCATCATTTTGTGCTGCGAAAATGATGGTGTTTCATACAGACCTTCTCGATGTGTGACGGTATCAATGAAAGGGAATAACCTGAATCCAGGACATTGTATTTTGTATTACTTGGTCTTGTATTGTTCTCGTTACTTTTTGGGTAGGGGGTGACATGACTTTTGGACCATCCTGTTGATTGACCTTTTACTAAAGAAATCAATAAAAAAATTCATAATTATACAGTCATCATTAAAAAATTGTTTCTGAAACGGAAATTATTTATGATTCAACCTCATAAGAAATGTGAGAAAAAAAACTTCTATAAAAAAAAAGGTCAACACGAATGCCAAGTCTTCTGCATGTCGGTCAGCTTCTTTTGGTGAAAGCTCTGTACATCCTTTTACTATTAAGTGTTACATAGTATGTGTATATAATAACATTTTAATGTTAGTAACTTTAAATATTTTTCAGCTTTCATAAAAAGAATTGTTCTTATTTCGTTTCATTAGACGCAAATTTCAACCTAACAAGATGTTTTTTTACTTTTAAAATCGAATATTTAAACATTGTAACCCGATCGAAAATAAAGTCAAGAGGTCATCAAATGCATTTGACCTTTAGCTAGATTGAATTTTGGTTGATTCGTCTTTTCTGCTATTTATCACCACTTTGCAGGTTATTTAAAGCCATAAAATATTTTTAAATTGTAAGATTGTTTTGGAGTGGGGGGTGATAATGATGTAGTGATACAAGTCTTTACTAATTAACCCATAGTTGGGAGGAGAAGAGGTGGATTCATGCTTTTCCCCAAGTGTATTTGTGCGTAAATAAATATAATGAACCCAACTGGAATTGGAACTCGGCTCTCTGATTAACAATTCCGAGCCGTTGTCCATTACACCACTACCCCAAGCTTACAGCACCTGGTATTCTCAAACGGTGACTCATCTAGATACTGGCCATGCTCGACGTTGCTTAACTTCATTGATCGTACACGAACTGGTGTTTCAACGTGATATGGCGATAAGCCTTTGACTAGATTCAGTTTCTCTTTTTAATATTTTATTTACAAAGCTTAGCTTTTACGCAAGAAATATTTTGTATACTGTAAAACAATATGATTTTAGATATGTTTCCTTCACACTATTTGGCTATACGGATTTCATTGTCTTTTATAAAAGAAAGTATCACTCTAGTACAATGAGTGAATATGCCTTATGTTCTCATAACAATGGAATATCTTATTAGTAAATGAAAAGGCGGCTAAAACATTTCTCGTCTTAGCTTTCTTTAGATATTTTTAATAATTTTGAAAAAATTCTTTCTCACAAGTTAATTATATAGATTAAAAAAATAAAATAACCCATACAGTAAATATATCCAAAATTATTACAAGATGATTTCAATATTGTTTCCATATTTTGAGGTTTACAGATAAACGAGTTAGTGATATAATTTCTTGTTTGAAGCTGTGGTCAGCTTCCATGGGAGACTGATAGATTAATAGCTGTGTATAAGACAAATACGGTGAACATATTGGAGGAACAGATCAATGACTAAATTATTAAAAAAACTGACAGTTACGAGTTCTAGCGTTGTGGAAGAACACTTGAAGTGCCAAAAGTGAAAATGTAGTAGACGTTAAAATTTACCACTAGACACGCATGCGTTGATAGTCCTATCAGCAGCAGTAACCACTTTTCGGCTTTTGAGCATGCGCAAACAGAAAAACATAAAACTGGGAGCATGCGTACTGTGAATCCCAAGAGGCTACTCTCTTTCCTTCGTGCCAAGATCAAGATAGGATGCTAAAATTAGCGTTACCTTCAATAGACGCGCTTGGCGTAGACAATACACCTCACTCGACCCTTAGCTCACCAACAGAATAAGTTCAATTTTTCTTTCTTTCTTTACAGAGACGCTTAAGAGGATTAATTAAATTCGTATTTTCTTTCAGGAATTATCCTTGATTTTTTTGTCCTACACGAATATGTCCTTATAAAATAAAATTTTTCTCTCATTTTTTCATTCTTTTTTTTTGACTATTTTCTCAACCATTTCAACCCCTTAAGTTTTTGTTCGTCATTGAACGACACTTTCTGAACTTTAAACAATGAGCCCCTAATCTAACAACAACAAAAACAACATTACCTTCAACCTACTCTGAAAAAGTTAAAGGCTTCTATTCAAAAACTTCCCTCGGTTCATGCAATCTATAATATTCATAGACATTATTTTATTTTGTCAGCATGTTTTCCTCTTCTTTTCTTTTTTAACCACGTCCTTCCTTGCGCCTTGTATCCAGTACTACCAAACTGAACGACTGAACACAAGATTCCCAGAGATCAGTACACTGTTATTCACCTTTTAAGCGATCTATACAGGAGTGAATGATAGACAATCACATCATTAATGAAGAGACGAATCGACAGGGAGGTGGTTCTACCGATGAAAGCTGCCAATAACATAGACAGAACATTTGAGAAACGATCAAAGTTTCATGAAAACAGAAACAAGAAAACTACTAATGATTTGACACTAAGCCTAGGATAGATAGTAAGGAAAAAAGGTTTGGAGAAGTTAACACTCACAGGATTCATTGAAAGCAAGTGTAAGAAAATTTCGTTTAGGCGAAGTAATGGTAATAAGTTTATATGAATGGGTGACAGCTACTATGAATGGTTGAGGAGAGCCATGATAGTTCACATTCTATACGTCCATGACACATAAGACTAGACAGACGATCTCAATCGTCCCGTGGTTGAATTCAGGGGACATTATCACATTTTTTTTTTCATTATTAACTTTTTATAACACGAAGCCAAATAAGAGACAAATCATTATCATCCACCCAGAGAATGCTTGTAAAATCATCACCCGAAATGGTATTTATCGGGACGCAACTATCTACGTTTGGCAAAATCCACAAGTTCAACAATTCCTCTTTTCTAAGCAATCATTTTCTTCCTCACTTGCAATAGATTTCTGCATAAACTCATTTACAATACATTTACATTAGACACTTAACTGTCCTATTCACTCAGTAACGTTTGTATTCATTTCTAACCTCTGAAAATTACTTTCTTCCTGATTTTCAATGCATTCCTAAAGTAAAATCATTAGCGACGCATTTGCATTATACATATAATAATTCTATTCTGCTAGTAATGCTTGCATTAATTCCTGACCACTGACAATCTAATTCTTCCTTATTTCAATGCATTTATTGATTAAAATCATTATAAATGCACTTACATTACACATATAACAGACCTGTTAACGCTTGCCTTAATTACTGAAGATTCTAGTCGGCCATACTTCTCGCCCATAAATGGACAATGACGATTCGCTTTTGTTAGTGCAACGTTGGCTATGGAAAATTCTCTTTGATTTTGGGACAGGATTGATATTAAAATCAGGTTACGATCAAAAGTGGCTTATTTTTATTCAATAATATAACTGAGTACATTTCGAAACGACTGATTTGAGATTTTCAGTTGATTTCAAATTAACACCCGCATGGCATTTTTTCCTCCATTTTAAGCCAAATGTTGTGACAAATCTTTTGTCAGTCTTTTATTTTTGTTCCATTTCTTATGCGATTCGTCTTTTCTTTTCTTTTTTTTTTTTTTTGCAGGTGGGGAGAGGGTTAGAAAATGGCAATAAAGTCACTAGGACGCAAGGGATTACAGAGTGTGAGTAAATATGAGACAAAAACACTATCGACGAGAGAGAACAACAAAAAACGCTTACGTAGACATCACGTTGAACCACCGGTACGATCACCGAAGTTAAGCAACGCCAAGCCAGGATAGTACCTAAATGGAAGGATGCTTGGGAATAACAAGTGCTTTTATCTTGGCAATTGTTAATCGAGGAATCGAGTTCAAATTCCGGTTGGGTTCGTTATCTTCCCTTACGCTCAAATACACACGGGGAAGTTATGAATGCACATCCTCCCCGCCTGCTATGGGTTAAATGGCAAAACTTCTATCACTAAACCATTATTATCAAAAAGAAATATTGCAATCTAAAATAAAATTTCTGGCTTTAAATGACCGCAAATGCTTGATTAAGCGTGGTAAATGACTATTTTCAGTTTACTGCTCCTTATTCCATACAGAAAATAAAATTTTCAAATATATATATATATATATATATATATATGCAAATATATTGATAAAATAGGAAAGAACCGTTAGATTGATGATCCGAAGTTCTTTAGTATATTTGTTTTTATGTTTTAAAAACAGTGCTCGATACATAAGTAGAGCCTAGATTATAATTATTTTTTTAAAAAATATTATTCCATCGGTACACAGGAATTACCATGTTTCAAAAACAGAAGCGAAAAATTTCCAATTCAGTTATAGAAATTAAAGCACCTAGTTCTGTTTCATTTTCAAGCGAATTTTGGAATAACTTATTTTGAAATTTACTGATCTTTATAAGCACATAGATTGATAAATATTAGTTTCTATGGATATGGAGAAAAACAATCATTTTAATAAGAGGCGGTAGGGTATTCATTTTCATTGAAAACTATTGTATCAACATATTAATTACTTTCGAAAAGAAGTTAAGTCAAAGTAGGATAGGGGTGCTTTTTTTCAAGTGAATGATAACATCCGTTCAACGCATGTTGTCTGGTCTATTTCGATGACGGAAAGTTTTTCGGCACTTTTTAACAAAAACGTTAAAATTGTACTTGTTTACATAAAAAAAAAATTTCTAAAAAGGATTGTTTGTATATGAATACGTCGTATTGAACTACAATTTGTTTTTTGTTGACGACTTCTTAAAGGGATTTTTTAGCTTATGATTGGGTTGTATTTTAGACTTATTGCTTTAATTGAACTTGTTTATAGATTATAAATTTTAAATTTTTTTATGTTAATTATTTAAGACGAGTATTTGTTGGTGTCGACAAAAAACCGTTATTTCATGTCGTTGCTTTTATAAATTTTTGATTTTTAGAAACTTAATAATGTGTAGTTTTTCATGTAGGCATAAAGGGCATGGGCCATCCCAGGTTTTACAAGTTCTTGTACTATTTATGATTTTCCATTTTACTCTTAGTGTTTTATTCGTTTCTTTTAAATGTCAAAAATATTTAGATAGGCATGTCCGGTTTCTATTTCTAATATTATTGAAGGACCTTTTGAGTTGCCTCTACCTTATAGTACATTCATTCTTCATTTAATTTAATTCTATAAGTGAATTGTAAGTTTTTAGCTTCTATTGGTAATTCCTATGTAGCGATGGAATCATATTTTTTTTAAAAAATAATAAATTATATATATATATATATATATATGTGTGTGTGTGTGTGTGTGTGTGTGTGTGTGTGTGTGTGTGTGTATACTTTATGGTATTAGTGGACTGATTTAAAATCCCCAGCTACTGGAATATATATATATATATATATATAACAATGCACATATGACAACCTTTGAGAGATCTATGACAGAAATTTCGCTTGAAAGCACGAAATTTGGTCTCGTATGACAGACTGTTCTGCACGACCAAGTCGGTAAGGCGTTTCGAGCTAAACTGTAGCTCCCTCTGCCTGAAGAAACGCAGGTTTGATTCCTGTCGGAGACCGCATTTTTTTCTTTAAAAATATTCAGTCCTGCAGACAAAAATAAATGAATATGTTGTTTAATAAATAAACTTACTGAAATACAAGTATCCACTAAAAATAACGTTTTTTTAGACATTTAAATTACTATCAAGTATTAAAATCTATTCTTTAAATAAATTGCTAAAACTCAGTTACAGCCTCTTTCTCTTTACTTCTCTCTCCCTCTTCTTTCTTTTTTCTTTTTCTTTTCTCACTACTCCCCTCCCATTTCAATATATCACTTCCGTTAAGTTAACCGTCTAAATAGGTTATGGTCTGGTCACTCCTCCTCCCCCAATAGAAAGTATGCTTGAGAGAAATATGAAATTAATCCCTCCCTATATTCTACCGTGTCTCTTTAACTACTCCTTTTACACTCTCTGTTAAATTACAAAAACT